GGGGGGGGGGGGGGGCTCCAACTACCTAAAGCACGTCTACAGTACAAAAAGGGATCATTTTCATTCTCCGGCACAGTTCTCTGGAACTCCCTTCCGCCACATGTAAGAAACTCAAAATCTATCAGTGCATTTAAGACCAGGCTTTCTTCCCTCACCAGTTAATTTGATTTTGGTTGAGTGATTTACAAACATTATGATTTTCCTTACCAGTTAATATGATTTTGTTTGATTTATGCTTGTGAGATAAGTTCCATTGATATGCAAATTCCTTTCGCTTTAACTTATTTATGTTTGGTTGGATTCTTTATGTTACCTTATGATTATTTGCACACTTGTATATAGTGATTATTTTCTTCTTATTTATTATTGTATTTTATCCTCAGTTACTTTGTATTTTACTATGTTGGGGTTTACCCACCAGGTATCATTGAAAAACGCCGACAAGGCGATATGTATCACCTGGATAAATAAATGAAATGAAAATGAAATGAGGTATGAGACCTCTGAACCCCTCTGTGTTACAAACAGACCAGAATCAGAATCAATGCAGATTACTGTTCATAACTTATATTGTGTGATTTGCTGTTCCCATCCAGGGTGGCCGGTGAGTCGGACCAGTACAGGCTGACCATTTCCGGGTATTCAGGCACAGCGGGAGACTCCATGACTCACCACTATTCCAACAACGGGATGAAGTTCTCCACTGTGGACAGGGACAACGACATTGACAGCAGCCGCAACTGCTCTTGGCTCAGAAAGGGCGGCTGGTGGTTTAGGTACTGCGGCTGGTCCAACCTCAACGGCCGCTACATGCAGAACTGTATGTGGGGCTGTCCATACTGGGAAGGTGTGGTGTGGCACACCTTTAAAGGCGATCATTACTCCCTTAAGTCTGTGTCCATGAAAATCAGGCCACGATAATCGCATCTGCTCTAGATCTATTGTATCGTCCGTTATAAACTTACAGTATCAGTGAGGCAGACGTCTATGTTCAGATAACTGGAGAAGTGTTCAGCTATAGTTGTTATGGAGTAAACTGTTCAATACGAGTTTTGCATACCTGAAATATCTAGACTGATTAAAAATCATGGTTGTGGCTTATTTTGATGCTGGGAGCTTCTGATATAATATATCAATGCATTTTAAGGATGTATGTTTCTTTTGTGGTAGAATTTCATTAAGATACTTAGGCAACTGTAATGTTGTATACGTAGTCATGGATTCCTTTGTATGTAAGACCTTACAAGTATAAAGGTTCAGTACACATATAAACTACATAGTCTTCTGTGGAATAGATTAGTCACTGAGAACTATTGTATCGGTAACCATAGTTACCCGGAAGTAGATGTTGTATCTACAATTGCTGAGTAATAAAATTTCTTAGCAAAAAAAAAAACTTACCAAAATGCCATTTCTTGTTCGTCCTTCTAAGTCCAATGTTTTTCTTCCAGAAAGAAAAAAAAATATGTAAGGTTATGTAACTGTAATGCTGTAGGGTTTCTTATCAATGTGTGGCGTTATGTACACTAGCAAAATGAAATGGAATGACATCATGATAGAAGAATTTTTTTTTCCTTTCACGTTTTAGACCATGTTGATTTGATTATATGAATGACATCCTCCGGGAATCCCAAAGCTGATGCGAGCGTGGGAATAAAAAAGTATAGCAAACAAAAGTTGCTTTCATTATGAAATCTACGTGGTCAGGATCAATGGCACAGAGTAAGGTTTGGCGAATAATCTACTTTTCAAATTCATTTCTTGACGTATTCGGCTTTTTCGTTTGATCTCGGCATTGTACTACATTGGTGTTGTTTCCCAATATTTGTTTGCAACTTTCGGCATATATTTGCTCATTATGTTTACCGAAGGAAAACATATTGTTTTTACTACATTTCCTCTTCTTCTCCAAACAGTGACCTCTTACCTGGCCAATGACCTGATTTGTTGACGTCTCTCACCATGGTAACTGGTGTTGGCTTACATAATGTTGCAAATATATAGCATGATAGTAGGAGAGATTTGGATTCCTGTCTGACCATATATATGAATGTGTTCATGCAAGTAGGGATTAACAGATCAGACCATATGCGAAGGTAAACATTATGCATTTGCTTTGCAAATGTTACCTTTCTAGTTACCTCCATGAAAAAATGGAGGTATTGTTTTTGGTGTATTTGTATGTCTGTGTGTGTCTGTGTGTGTGTGTGTCTGTCTGTGTGTGTTTCCGCAACTTTGTAGTCAGCATAACTTCAGAACGCCTGTATGGATTGTGATGATATTTGGTATGATGGTAAGTCTTGGAAAGACAAAGGTTAAAGTAAGGTCTAGCATGGGTCTCCTGGTGGATGACCTTGGTACTGCAGCAGAACTTCCGGTTTTTGTATTTTTTGTCCTGAACATGCTATGGTCTTGACTTTTTGGTGACCGATAGCTTATCCTGTCAGGAATAAGTGGCGTAAGTTTGGTCCCCCTAGCAGCTTGTTCTGGAACTGCAGTTGGTTTCTGATAAAAACTTTCAAAGCCAATAAGTCCAGATTGGAACAGCGTATTTTCATCATTTTTGGTGTGTAGGTACCTGAGAGACAGTTGTACATGATTTAATGCAAATTATGCAAATGAGGACTTAATTTGCATAATAAATGAAATTATATAATTACAGTGTTTCATATAATGGTACTGCTATACATGTAATCTGTTTAATCTGTGGCAGGCGGAACATCAACAGATACCAATTATGCAAATGATAACCTAATTTGCATAATTAATGTGAAAATTCTGTGAATCCTTATTGGTGAATGATTGGAATTTTATACCTCGTAACATGTGTAAGTTACTTTAATGTTTGCATCGCTATGCATATATTATGTTAATGTAGATGTTATTTGGATAATTAATGAGGACAAAGCAAGCCCATATTTCATGGAGGTATGACATCTCGGAACTCTTGTTTTGCAACTGTTTTGTACGATTGTGACTGAAAACATTTTTGGAAACGGCCAAAAATTCATGCGCGCGTTGATGTCATCTATATAATCAAATCAACATGGCCTTATTTTGTAACAGTCTGTAAAATACTTACTGTAAGTTGATTTCCTGTAAGGCAATTATAAAACTGTAACCCGTTGCCCAATAGGGACATTGAACTTAAGGGTTACTTATCAAGGTGCAATAATAAGTACACATTGTCAAGCAAAATGACATGTCAGGGTCATATTGGGGTCGTGTGGCGTAGTGGCAGAGTGCGCTACTCGGAACCTAGAAGTCCCGAGCTCGAGTCCTGACACGCCACCGATCTTGTGCCCTTGGGAAAGGCACTTAACACGACTTTCCTCACTTCGCTCAGGTGAAAATGAGCATTGTCCTGCCATGTATTTGTTCCCTGTGTTGGTGGCGGCATTAATATTAAGTTTAAAAACTTTAGTGTGCCGTCACCACGTCTGGTGATTACATGTTGGAATAAAAAAAATGACATAAAATAACATCATGATGGAAGAATAATTTTTTAATCATCTTTGTTAAACTTGCCTCTTGTATCTACCAATGTCTGGCAGTTTTATCACATTATACTTCTGTACTACATGTCTGCACATTGGAAATGTGCAGATGGGCTAAATGCACATAGAAAAGAATTGAGGTATATTAAAAGCATTGGTGACCATCGCATCCCGTTAGCTAAAATATGTATAAAGAATGCATGGAGTTTAACCTCCTTGAAGAATGTAAGGCTTTGGCGATGAATGAAAATAAATTCTGCACTGCTGGTGTTTCCATTCTCCCACTAATTAAGCTTCTTTGTACATTTGTAACTAAAGCAACACCTGTTCAAGTACTTTTTTTGTTTCAAAACCACACTAAAGGCCACTCGAATTCCTTTTTACATTCCGCGACCCTAAGGTCGCGAAATGTACTGTGGTGGGTTTTTGCATGGATGCATGGTTGCTTGGTAGGTCTATTAACCCTGCTATGCCTGCCTGCCTTCTAAGCCTTCCACAGTGACCAGATTTGCCACGGCTTAGTGTTAACACGGTTATACCAATTGAATTTAGTCCATACCTCTCGTCCTGACAATGTTTTAAACGTCCCATTTATTTATTATTGTGTGTACTACTGACTGTTTGGCGGCCTATGCCACAAAATAATTTCACATTTGGTTGCATGGAATTAAACATTCATGTGATCATATCTACCAGAGTGGATTGGTACATGATCAAGTTATTTTGTCACGTAACATCCTTGTTGTTGTTGGCATCCACCAACTAGGAAATAATATATTTTGTAAAATGTCTTAGATTTGCGTCATGCATACGTCATACATACGTTGGTAATACGTAGTACTAAAACACGTAGTGGCCTGGTCCATTTTAGCGATATTTACCATGAAAATAACGTATGTGATTTTTATTTCATCTGATGTGAGTTTTTAGGTTCCAAAACCTCTTAAAAACAGAAATTTGCCCACGAAAAAGGACGGGCAAGGCGTGGGGAGGGCGCTTTTGACGCCTGCATGACCCCCAAAAGGTCGAAGGTCATTGCGCAATCACTTTAAATCGCCGATTTAGCTAATTTTAGGGGACTTAACAATGATACTATTGCATTATCCAATGAATAGAAACCAATCCAAATGACTGAAATGTTGTGCAGATTATTATTTTTTTTATTTTTTTCTAATTCAGAACGCAACAGTATTTTCTTAAATGTTTTCACAAATACAAAAGCAATATCCAGCTTGCTTTCTGTCATCTGTATAATCTCTACCACACCTTTGCTTTTTTCTTAATCAAATGTCACTGAAGACGAAACTCAAATCAAAATATCTGCTCTACATGTACATCTCATCAGGCTATTCATGTCTAGAGTGTCACATGTACAGCATTATAGCAACGTAGATGTAGAGGAACATAATAACTATAATCATTTCCAAGCACAAGCCTAGGGTGGTAAATGTAAGAGTTATCTCCAAGCAGATGGTAGTGACATCCATGATCTGACTATTCAGTCATCGTCAAGCAGATGTAAAGAGGAATACCTATAAAGTTATTTCCCAGCAGATGCAGGGTTGCATATGTAAATGTACAACATCTTCGTAATTAAAAATAAAAATCCCTGACCAGCGCTGCGAAGCCATAATGAAAAATATTCTTATATTTAAAATGCAGCTTAGCAAAGAATCAAAGGACCATTTACAGATTCGAAAATAATAACAGATTTGCACCTGGATTATGACACAAAGGCAATGAAACATAACCATGAAAGTACTACTGCTAAACAAAATGTGGGGAGGGGCCATGACTTAATCAAGCGAAACTTTTAACATTTGCAACCAAACCAAGTCCTAAAAAAAACAACGTTGCATCTTTCTGTCACCAGTAGCAATGCACGTCGACAAGAACACCATACATGTATTGCCACGATGTTACACGGAGCAATAGACAAGGAAAATTTGGAACAACATTATCCAACACGAGCATAGAGTCACGCCACCAACACACACAGCTTCAACACGCGACCCCCACAGCTGCACTGGCGAGAAATCACTCTTTCAATAAAAGCAAACAATATATATCATTCCGCAAGAATATTTGACGAGTCTCCATCATTGACAAGACAAAACTCAAAATAGGAATTACACAGTCACGTCAATATAGTCCGTAAGCAGCTAAAACACTAAAGCCTTAAGTTTATACATGACATGTGTTGTTTGTCGCCAAAGAGTGAACTACTTTCTGTCGCCCATGAATAACGTGGCAGTGATACAGCAGCTGAGATGGATCTTGGCCTGAACACCTGGGTAACCTAATTCAATCAATTGCAATCACCAATCAGACTCTCTGACGTAATATGTTTTCGAAATTTGAAAAGAACTACAAATTCTAATGACCGGGAGACTATGCTTTGAGTGCAAGAACAACACATGTGTT